ATCTATGTCCCAAGTGCCAGAAGCAGAATCGAAGTAATCCTCCTGAACATGAGCTCAAGCATGGGTTTCTTTGAGTTGCAGTGACATACACCTATACAGCGACAAGAGTTTAGGCCATTACAATCGTTGTAGGACTAGAGAAGAAACGGCAGAGATATGAAACGCATCCCAAAGAAGCCGCTAACCAACTAAGACACAAACGGAAGCATGCGACCACAGCCACCTGGGTATTAGAATTCAAGCTAAAGTTCATCTGGGACACATATGTGACCCTCCATTGCCACCTTCAGAGCCAAATTCAAGCCGTCAAAATATATTGCTCAAACATTTGAGCACAAACCTGTGAGCCAGTGACTAGTTGTAGATAGTGGCAGTTGACCACAATCCCCTAAGCAGCTCAAAGACATTGAAGACAGGAACTAGAGTTGAGAATCCAGTCGCAATCTCCTTGCTTACTTGACCATCCAGAGCAAGCAGCTCTGCCAAAAGAGCCTCTGGATCAACCGCTTGCACTTTCGGACTTGAAGGCGAATGCGACGCAATAGCTGCCTGAGTTAAAGCAATGTCTTCGGATTTCTCCTGCAATGTCCGGCAAATCTTCGGCTAGATAGGTAGCTTTGCATCCCAGGTTCATTTCCAGACAAAGTGGCCTCGTTCCCTTTTGCAAGATGTTCGATGAGGTCTGCAAGCATATGGCCTGCCTTCTCATCTGTCCTAATTGGTTTCGGCGTGCTTTGACACAAATTGAGCAAAGCAGCCAACCATTCTCTTCCAGGATTTTAGAATACCTACTCATGGTGTTGTGGCCTTGTGGGAGCATGCTTAAGACTCAAGTGTCCTGCCATTTGTCTTCAGCCCCTGTCCGCGAAGCCTCTCGGCAAGCTCTGCCACGGTCCTGAAGGCTCGAAAACTCTGCCCAGCTACAGAGGAAACGTGTTGACGATGCAAAGGGTTCTTCTCCGTCCCTGCCAGCTTCTTCCTACTGGCTGCTAGCTAGCTACTAGCTACCTACCCCCCCAGCCAGTTGCTCCCAAAAAACGAACAAGATGGGGCCCACAAACCCGAATGCAAACACGTACTCGAAAGCAAGCAGCCAAACATTGTTTGACACTCTTGTAGGGCATTCTTTTGTGAGACATTCTTGTGGGACACTCTTGTAGCACACCCTTTGTCGGACACTCTTGTGGGACACCTCTGTGGCACACTCTTGTGAGGCACTCTTGTGGGGCGCCCTCTTGTGTGACACTCTTGTGAGACACTCTTGCAGGACACTCCTGTGGGATTCTCTTGTCAAACGCTCATTGTAGGACACTTGTGTGGCACAGTCTTGTCGGAAGCTTGTGGCACGGTGTGGCACCGAGCCACGCCAACGCAGGTTCTACCGGGGCGGTGCCAAGCTGTATGGCACAGCGACATCACGGACGTAATTTTGCAACCGTGCGTCACAGAGTACCTGCAACCATGTGACACGACACCACCAAACATCCCGCTCACTAGCGACACGCCGAGTTTACACACACGCATGTTTCCCTTCCCACAAAGGCACGGAGCCACACAAACGCACTTTCCACCAAGGCCGCAAGAAATCGCATGACACAGCGACATCAGGGACGTAGCTTCGCAGCACCGCCTTCTGAACCGGCATCTCCAATAACCTACTCCCCGCACAACATTTGCACTGCCACTACGCAGTCCCAGGTCCCAAGCTGGAGCTCCCAGAAGACACTTCCGCCCGACTGCGTGTCGTACGGGACTTCCTCCATAGTCATGCGTCAAGTCTCCAACAGTAAGCGCTTGGCACAAGACTTGCTGGAAGGAAAAGTGCCGTAGGAAGTCTCAGCAGCGAACACATCAAGCAGCTCTCCCCAAGCAGAGTGGCAATCCTGACCCTACAAGCCACAGCCGCCGACCCACCAACCCCAGTGGCGCGGCAACATTTCCCTCCACCCAACGTCGCAACCTCACGATTCCCCACGCCTGCCACGACGAAGATTCACCGACTCACCTTCCACACCTCCAACATGCACAAAGTGCTGGGCCTGCCACGAAAAGTTACTGCATCATATCTTCATGTCTTTAGCAAAGCTTGCACCACACCACACAATCGGAGTAATTTTGAGAGCATGCTCCCATCCACCAAAGTCGCATTTTTAGCTGAGACCTGTCACGAAAACACAGCTTCCGGGCAAGGGCCTGAAAAGTGATTTAACGAAACGCTGCACCTGCAGCAGCCAAATCATCCTCCACACTTCAACATGCTATGTTTCTACACTAGTTCACACGAATCTGACACTTCATGTTTCCAACCAAAACCTCCTCCAAAAGCTTCCCCTAATGGCAGGGCCTTATCGATGACGTTCAAAAGTTCGCGGACGGTTGCAAACGGTTGCGGACGGTTGTGGCCACGAAGGCAATGTCACGCGAACAACACTCTACTCTACCCTCGGACTCCCAATGTAAACAAGAACCCTTTGCTACGCATTCGGGAAAATGATGGATTTCTCCCAAGAGCTGAAGAAAAGCCAAGCATCATGCCATCATTGGGCAGGGCCATCAGTCTCCGTCGAAAGCGATAGTTGGTTGACTCGGTTAACCGCAATGTGCTCCTCTGAACCACATTCAAAACTTGTACTGCATCAGGTGACACAGAGGAGCAAAGCTGCAGGACAAAAGAATGATTCGACCCATTGCAGGTTACCAAGAAGATCTGTGGGAACAAAGGAAGTTTCCCATGTGCTCAAGGTTTGTGGAAAGAAATACTGTGGACAGCAAAGTCCTGAAAGAGCTCCAAGCTGGATGCAGTCGCAGCGCAATCCATGCAGCAAGGACAGTCCAACCAACACCGCGTCGGCGGCGCAACATGCTCAGCTAGACACGAACAAGCAGGTCAAAGTAAGCAGTTGTGGCTGAATACGCGGTGCTTGACGTGCGACCATGGTGCTAGCATGTCTGCAAAGCATACCTTTCAATGGGATAGTAAACTGGAGCTGCTAGGACTATTTAAACAGGAGCTGTGATGCCATCAACGTCTGACAGATTGCAGCTGCCAGAGTGTCCATCAATGCAGAGTACTCAAGCTGAGTTGCAAGCGCTACACAACACTTGTATTCTATATGCTTGTCTTGGACAAAAAATCCTAGGATCTTAGCTGGCGGCTGACCAAGACAGCACCTGGCTCTGCGCACTCATCTCCTTTCAATACCAGAGGTCATCGTTTCACGTCGACCCTGCAAGAATGTCCATTCGTACTAAAATATCCTGGCATGAGCTCTGCTTCAAAAAGCCCGATGCCTCACAAAGGCCAAAGTCCTGGAAAAGCCCGATCAAGACCTTTCCTCGAGAGTTTCCAACACACCCTTCACAAAATATCAGTCGACTTCAGCACTCTGGGCCGACGAGAACGCTGAAGTCTATGATTCGCTCTCAACAAATGAGATCTAGACGCAACAACACCATGTCAGCGCAGTCACCATCAATGCGGAGTGTCCTGCAGCAACTGGCTTCAGAGGCAAACGGACTCTGGTATGGTTGACATGGTCCTCGCCAAAGCACGAAGGCAGGGAAGAAATTCGAGCTCCTCATTTGCTCCCGCCGGGAAGATGAGGTGTCTATCAGCACAAATCTGGGCCAAGGACTCGCTGGTTATCTTCGTCCCAATACCTTGCCACACTAGCTTAACTGCCCGAGCGACTCCAAAGCCTTGAACCATTCTACATGACAGTGGTCAACAAGAATTTAGAATGTACCGTTTCCGAAGCAAGTGTCATGTCATAAACTATGCTTTCATAAACTCCAATGCTTCAAGCAGGTGAAAATCAAAGTATGCCTAAACCAGCTCTCTCTGCTCTGCTCAAGGTCTGGAACGGCACCAGAGCGAGCCTTCAGCAAGGCGCTGCATTGCGCTGCATACAATTTGAACAAAAGGTCGCTTCAAATGGCCTCTCGCTTCAAGGAGGGCAAGCTGTACAATACAAATTGCAGAATTCCTCGAGAATGCTCAAAGGCTTCACGTGTAATTCGTCCAGTGCCTAGGCTGGACGCCGAGTCACAGAGTATCAAATGATATTATAATATATATATATATATATATACAGCGTATATCAAATGAGAAACGCAGAAGCTCTAAACACTCACTGAATCTCACTTAATATGTGTCATGGAAAGCCCTTTGCAGGCACCAAAATTATCCAAGGTCCGAGGCGCCTTCAGAGTCCCACTCTGACCACAATTTCACAGCCTCAAGCTTCTCAGGATCTACAGGCAGAGTTGCGCAAAGGGCATCGATGACCTGCTCACGTCTCAGTAAATCTCTGCACCAGTTCTGATGATTTGACACCGACCCCTAGTTGCAACACATGAGGAATCCACATGGCGAATCCGTCTAGGCCTCGTGTTTTTTCCAGAGAGCCTGCACCCAGTGGTCGTCTTCCAACAAAGACAGAATCACTGGAGAGTGGACACGCATTTGGATTGAAGCTGCAGGCCTACCGAGAGTGAGACTAACCAACAAGTAAAAAGCCGCCGGTTGTTGCGCACCAGAGTCATCATCATCAAGGGCATGAAACCACGCAGTGCTGTTGAGGCGCACCTTGCAAGTAGCTGGATATGTGTGAAATACACGGCAAGTCTTTCAACTGTTTTCCATGTTCTATTGAATACCGGCCCGGGCAATCCATGCTGACTTGGCGCGTCTGGCAGCGCTTCTACCCGCACAAACTCTGCACGGCACAGGGGGGCAAAGGTACCTCACAACTGTGGCGATCCTTGGGATTCTTTGCTCAGGAGGTTTCTAGGAGAAACTTTCTCTGCAAGTCTGCATCTTGTCTTGACAGGTCATGGCTGCTATGGCTTTTGATGTCATCACTGAGTCATCACGAGACACGGTGCAGGGGTCGATTGGAGTAGGAGCTTAGCACAACCTTTGCCAAGCAACTACGCTCAAGCGACAAAGAGTTGCTTCAAGCTTGAGGATAAGCTGGGCAGCAAGCCATGGTGTAGATAATGTCGACAAGCACGCTTCTTGTTTCTTCCGCTTCGCTGCATCAGCCTATGCATGGGGCATGATAAGTGACTGTGCGAGACGTGATCATTGATATGTTTGGGTGCTGTTGCAGTGTTGCTCTGCTTGCATCTTCCCTGGGGAACAGACATGCAAACTGCGTCCGAAGGTAGTTCCGCACAGCAAATGCAGCACTCTGCTCCAGGCCCTGCCAGTCGGCTTCCTTTTCGCTGCCACATCAGTTTAGTTCAAGTTGGTGTCACCATGTCACAGTTAAAGCTGCTCTAGACCTTAGACTTAACCCCAAGCCAGAAAGTACAGTTGAAGGCCCTCCCTGCCTCTGAGAAAACTGCCACTGCCTGCCTAGTTGGACTAGAAAGCTTCTCTTTTCAATCACAACAGTTCTCTTGCAGTGCTTTGTGTTGCGCATTGCAGCTTCAACAATCAATGGTCAAGAAAGTGGACGCTCAAGAGATTGACAAAAAACTGTAATTGTTGTTGCTGTTGTTATGGCGAAGGCTTGCCTTTTTGCTTGAGAATGGAGCCCGGCTCTGCATTTCGACTTCATCCTCATGCACAGCTGAAGGCAGGCCCTCCTCAAACTGAGACACTGTGACCAATGCTTCCTTGCCTGCAAGCAGTTTATAGAAGTGAGAATGGGTCCAAGTTCACCAACGTGCAGGTCCTCCACAGTACAAGTAGTTGTGCTGTGAACTGACATTGTCCTCAGTAGAGTACTGATCAAGAGTCATAGCATTCATGGCACACCAGCGAATACGGTCTTGAACCTGTGTAATCAAGCGTAAGCCTTCACGTATAAACAAGTGTATACTGTATACGGTACAAACAAGTTTGTGCATGATTTGCTTGAGCCAAGTCTCGGCATACCTGGAATCTCGAACTGTGGCGGCACTTTGTCCATCAGAAATTCCTAGAAAAAAGCGACTTAAGAAAAGGATCTGCCATCAATGCAAGTGAAGCACTATGTTGACTATGACCGTTTTGCTTGCTGGAAAGGAGAAGCAACAAACCACCCTATTGCCTCAGCATCATCTCCATCCTCGGCCGTAAGATCCATGACCTTTGCCACCCTCAGGATGTGTTGCAAAGGCTTCCACACTTGCTTCCAAAGCCTAGAAAGTGTGCAGTACAACTCATGCTGCATGCTCGATCAAGTATATATTTACACACTTTACTCAATATGGCTTGGTCATCATCACGTAACATTTTCTCAGCAGGGTCTGGTCTCAGTTCGCAAGGTGAAAACATGCACAGTGAAAGGTTGGTCAGTACATTGTCGCGATGTGCTCCTTCATCGCTTTGATGGCACTCTCGCCTCACTCTTCATCCTTCTTTGACTGGGTCTTGGCTGCTTCACGTAGTACTTCAACAACATGACTGTTGAGAGTGCCCTCTGCATGATCTTGGGCGGTCTGGCCATTCTCATCTGTTGTATGCACATTAGCACCATGGGCAAGGAGAGCTTGAACGCAAAGAAGCTGTTGATTCATGGCAGCCCAAATGAGTGCGGTCTCCCCACGGCTGGTCTTGGCCTCAGTAGGACACTTCAGCTCAATAAGGCTCTTCACCAAACTGGGGTTGCCAGCCTGGACTGCGCTGAAAAGGGCTGTTTGACCATCCTCATCCTGATGTTCCACCTTTGCTCCTTTTGCAACCAGGAACTTGCAAATCTCTTCACGTCCGAACTGAGCAGCCAAAAGCAGTGCGGTCTTGCCTTGTTTGGTGACTTGGTCAACTTTGGCATCCTTCTTCACAAGCCCCTGTACTGTAGTCAAATGACCTTCCGATGCAGCCCACATCAAAGCAGTCTGATGATGCTGGTCCAGCTGATTCACTTTGGCACCCTCTCCGATCAGAAATCCGCAAACATCCCAATGCCCATTTGCGGCCGCTTTCATCAAAGCTGTCTCTCCCTTTTCCGTGGCATAGTCGGCCGTGATGCCAAAGTTACTGACCAAGAGCTCACAAATCTCGTAGTGTCCACTCAAAGAAGCCCACATCAGAACATCCCAGCCTTCATCATCCTTCAGGTCCAAGGAAGCTCCGTCATCGGCCAGAATTTGCACAACATCTCCTTCTCCCTGTTCAGCAGCCTTCATGATCGCTGTCCTTGCCAAGCAACAAATCAAGCAAATCGCACTGGCATAATACAGCAAAACAAGTTCCGAACACAGAATAGGTTTCATGCAGCCTAGATTCACTCCCTCGTCATCCTTCATGTCCAAGATCCTCTTCTTCTCACGCATGAGGGACTGCTGCGCTTCATCCTTGCCGCCGGTCAATGATGGTCCTTTCTTCCTTTGAGCCGCTTGAGCCTCAACGAGGAACCTGATGATGTCAGTATGGCCCTCTTTACCTGAGCAACAAGAAAGTCCTACAAATACAGCACCCAAAGGTTTACAGCGCTCAGTCTAGCATCTGGAAGTGTACATTACTCAAGCCCAGCCTTCTGCAATGCTTGAATTTGGCCAAGCTGCATGCTTTCATCAAAGCCGTTTCTCCCATGTCATCTTTGGCGGAAATGCGAGCTCCCTTGTCAACAAGAAACTGGACCACTTGTATGTAGCCGCCCGATGCCGCATGCATCAGCGCATTGACGCCCTCTGGATCCTTCTGATCAACCTTCACTTTCTTATCCTCCAAGGCTTTGCTGCAACCCTCGACTTGGCCAGATTTGGCCGCCTCGATCAGGGGATAGACAGCGGTGGTACTGGTTTTGCCTTGGTTACTTTTGAGAGCTGCCAGCAAGTTACTGGTCATGGCGCAAGATTTGATTTCACTCACTGCACTCAACACTGGCTCAACCAGTATCTCAGCACTCTTGAACCATAAAACATGTATGGAGAGAGAGAGAGAGAGTGTGTGAGAGAGAGAGAGAGTTCACAGGACCATTCATAATAGTGCACATGGGCACATCGAACGTGTCACTATTACAATCATATTGTGGAGAGTCCACAGAGCTGGTAATCACTCTAAGAGCAGGTCTGTTCAGCTTCAGTAGCGAGCCTTCCAAAAGGCAAGGCATGGCAAGGGTGGTGTCAATCTAATCAAATGTGCAGCATCGACGCCGGCACCGTCGTGATGCCTAGTTGGAAAGGCACGGCCTGCACACAGCCCCATCGTCCACCACATCATTTGATGCATCAAGATCTGCCTGAAGCCGCACTGTTGAGGGTCATTGAATTTGGTTGTTCTCAACGATTCTCTGAAGTCTCAGCTTCGCTCCACAGGTGTTTCATGTTCTGTGCCAGGGAAAATTGCCTTGGAGAGTCTTGAAGAGCATGGCCATTCATGATTCGCCCCAACATGCTTGTCATCACCCAATCTTCCGTCGCCAGCAGGATAAGAATATCATGTCCACAAAACACACGAGCACATGAAGCACAGTACCTTGGCTCTTAGACTGCCACCCTGGGGGCTCCGTCCATGTTCCTCGAAAAGCTTGATGAACAAGCGAAAGCCAGCCCGGTTTATTGATTATGCGGTCTTGTCAGGACTTCTGCACAACAGCATTTCAACTTTAGTCCAGCCCGACTGGCTGTAAGGCTGCAACATTGCATATCATAGCATGATAAGCAGCGCTCGGCAACCATTTTAGGCCTGACCCGGAAGCAGGCGTCAGATTGTGGTCTTCATGGAACGGTTGGTGGCAAGAATCCGCAAAATAAAGGAAAGAAATGGTGCCTGGATCACGCCAAATGGTTTGCATGTGTGCATGCAGAGCAAGGTGGGGTTCAAATCAATGAACGCTGTTAATGTGTAGCTGTGTAGTTTCAACGATTGGTAATTGCTGCAATCTGCAGTCCATTGCTTCTATTGTTAACAAATGTTGTCATGCGCCCCAAATAAAGCTACTCAAATCCTGTCTCTGACTCACTCTAATGGACCTCACATGCCAATCACAATGCGGGCATATGTGTGCTCAGAACTCTATCAGGGTTGCAAGATCCAGAAAGAAACAACAACAAGAAAGTGTTACAAAGAATAAACCCGGCAACCCACCAGAAAATGCAAAGCAATCTTGACAGAAACAGAGAATGGGGTCGCACTCTTTTTATCATCGCCTCAGCGGAAGTATTGACTCCTTCGGCATCTTGACTAACAGGTTTCATTAGGTCTCCTCAATCTTTTGGGCCCTACAGTCCAGGTCCGTAGCATGGTGGAACTGGCTCAGATATAACTGATTCCTGCACAGCCACGGCCACCTGACAGGAGCTGTGGCTTGAGGAGCTCGGGGTCTTGAATAGCAGAGCCATCAGACCCCCAATCCCTGTTGGGCTAGTGACATCCAGTTGACTATTAGTAAAGGACACGTGAGGCCAGGGAGCAAGCAAAAGCGGCTTGCAAGACCAATCAGGAGCAATGAGAAATGATCAAAACCGAAAGACATGATGCTTCGATGCATGCACGAGACAAGTTGAGATGAGAGGAACGGTGGAATCAATCAGCTCAGAAGGAAGGAGGTGATGAGATCAAGAAAGTGAAAGCATTACACCGGCATAGACACCAGATAGCAAATTCGAAAAAACAAGAGCACCTGGAACAAAGAAAATCAAATAGTTCACGAAAGAAATCCCATGAGAGTTTCCAGTGACCGTGAGTAGGTACAATTACAACAACACCTCTTTCCGTGTGACTCCACAAATCCAGTCATCGATTCTCAGAAGTGGGGAAACATGTAAGGAAACACATGGAAAACAATTGGGGAAACGAGGAGACAAATAAGGAGAGACAGCAACAGCGGAAAACAGAACGCCGATCACACAGGCAAGACAAGCCACCAGCGGCAGCGATGGAACAAAACGCCGATCGGCCACCCAGTCATTGATAATCATAGAGAAGTAAGGGCCCTGTAACTTTCAACTATCTGAGAAAAAAAAATTAAAGCAACTTGAGCCACTAGTTAGACCAGCCACAGCGATAAGGTTCAGGGTGGGAGTTTGAGCACATCATCTTCATAGCATGTGTCAAAGGTCCTTTGTTCTTAACTTCTGTTCAAAGAAAACTTGAGCCACTAGTGGGGGTCAGGAAAGGATGAAATGAAATGGGAGATTCGAGGTTTAAGGAGAGAAGAAACTCTGCAACAGAGGAGATTCTGGAAGGCAGGCTGGAAGAGAACATGCAACACAAAAACCTTACAAAAAGGGTCCCCTGGCTCAATATTCAAAAGGTTGGAGAAGAGACTCGAGGTTTGAGAAAATAAGAAAGGTTTCAACAGAAGAGAGTCTGAAAGGAAGGCTCAGAGAGGTCGAGGGAGGGACCTAGACCTAGAAGTCCAGCGTTCAAAGGGGTTGCAACAACATCAGACTTCATGCTTGGTCAGGAACTTCTCTTCATGTGTTCTTGTTGGCACTTCGTTTCTTGAACGTGTTTGATGTGATGTCGTATTTGTTTTGTAGTGGCTGGCGCAGTTGTGGAGGGAAACGGCTTCTCCAAAATATGTCGTTTGCCGTCGCCCTGTACATGTTGCTGATTGGCCCCAACCCCCAATATAGAATCAGCCGTGGGTGAATCTGGGGAGGACTACGGCCTGCCAGGGCTTGGGGGTTCAAAAGAATTCTAAAGGACAATTATATACACGTGGTCATGGGCATGGGATTGAAACATTTTGTGGTCCGCGTGCCACCCCACAAATCCTTCTCATTCTCACATCGCAAATATTATTAAAACTTATGAAAAGTCCAAGGCTCTTGACTTAGTCATTCCGTCCAGCTTTAAATCATGAATTTGGAGAGTCCAGGCTATGAGCCACCCATTGGCAGTTTCAACCGGGTTTCACGGTTTCACCTATCAGTTTTCACGCATCGCTTGAGAATTCGTAGCGAAAAAAACAATTGAATCTATATACAGTAGGTGAGATAGCGGTTTCCTGGTCGTTTTCTTTGGATGATCTAGCTAGACTGTTTTATGTGCGATGTATCTACACAGCTACAACCTCAGTCAATCGACAGGTGTTGTTCAGGAGACTGCAGCTCAGTGGAAAACAGTGCCTGACTCGACGCTTCTCGAATAAATGCAGCATCCTTCTTCAAGAACTCTGCAGCATACCTTGAAAAAGTGCTATGAACAAGTGTTACATTCAATGTTGGTCCAGCCTTAATATGAAATAGGGATTGTTTTCTTGCCTAAGCCAAAGACATAAGGGCGCGTTTACTCTGCCTTGCAGCCGCCTTGACCACCTCAGGGTCGCCCTTTAATTCCTCGCGACCCGAAGGAGGTCGAAAACAATGAAAGCCACACATCTGCACGACACAAGCGACATGCCGCCTGTGCAGCGTACCGCAAAGAGATGCCCCGTTGCTGTACAGCTGCTAAAACTACATCACGGTCCTGGGAAAGAGAACAGGGAGACAACTGTCAGGCACACTCTGAAACGATTGGTCTCCCACTGCCACGTTTCATGATGTAAAGTGTTCCCAAATCACCCCATAACATGCCGGGCACACTGCACGCAGCTCCTCTCGGCCAGGCAAACAAAACGAATCAAAAACATGTGGGGCGAATCTGGCCTCAAACATGAAACGACATAATAGCGAGCCTGGGAAGCATAGGCCAGCGCCCCACCATTTTCCTGGACTGCTCGCAGGACGACCTGATTGAAATTTGCAAAACGGTGGAACAAACGTATTGTGTGAAAAACATGCTTTCAAATTTCAAAGACCCAACCTCTTTGTCTGCCTGCAGCACATCTGAAGCCCACCTTCAGCACCCAGCTAAAGTGCACATCTCGAACACAGTTAATTTTGGTTCTGCATGTCTGGGAGTGCGTCGTTCTGGCGGAAGCATGCGTACATGGACTCAACCTAGACATAGGTACGTGGGAAGCGGCCTGTTTGTTTTGTCACAACAGCGAGCGCTCTGAAAAGAACAAGGCCTACAAGCCCGTGCACCTACGTGGGTGTACATAATACACAGCACAGTGCGCACAATGCATTACCTCGCATCACGGCCCCTTCCACGCGCCCCTTTCTGGCTATATAAGTGCACCCACCAATGGCATGGGGACGGGTTGGTGTGGGATTGGGTTTGTGAGCTACAGACTATACAATGGTATCAGGTCCCTACTACAGGTCACAAAGATTCTAAATATGCGAGATGCAAACGGTAGACTCAGTGAGCTCTTCAGGTCTGGCGTCTTTGTTTTTGGAAAGGGCATCAACCCGAGTGAGGGCGGCGACCACGCATAGGGGAACTAGCACGCACAAAATAATCAAAACATTCGCCATGGGAAGGTTTCATTATCAAAACCTAAGGAAAGACAAGTCAGAAACGACTGCGACGTACGCACTGGTAATCTTTAGGTGTTGGACTACTCAAAAAAGGCCCCTCTCTTTCAAAAGAGAGAACACCTGCCGCGCGCGCTAACATTCTTCAGGTGCGTCGGTTCCTTACAACGAGCCTCCCTCTTATCCAAGGAGAGACCACTTAAAACCAAACAGAGCAACACGTCAAAATAGGGATGCACCAAGCCGCGAGGCCAAGCATTTGAAGATGCAGGCGGTTCATACTTGCTCTGGTCCGTGGCTGGCCTGTTGTTCAGCGCTTGTAACTGACTTCATAGTTAATGACCTCAAACCAACTCAACCCATTCAACATGAGCTCTCAGCAACTTTCTTTTTCTTTCAGGTGCTTGGCGTGTAGAAACAGGTATGCAGTGCACCTCTGCTAGTCGCTCATCAGGCACAGCTGGCGGGACTCACATTTCGGAGCCTCCTCACCCTTCAAATAGCCAAGGATAGCCCAGACTCCTCCTGCTCCTGCCTCCTCAATCTCCACGCGCGCCTCACGCACTTGCGCATTGGGACTTGGACGGCGTTGCCAGGCGTCCTGGACGCGTAGGCATCCACAATCGCCTGGACACGACGAGCCACCACCTCCACTCTAGCAAGCGAAGATAAGTGTGATCGTACGTCGCACGCCAAAGAGCATCCACCAAGGTGCGCGTTTCAAAAGCAATGAGGTCATATTGGATGTGCCTGGCCCGGAGCCATTCAATCGTCCACCTCTTTGGGTCTCCACCAAAACGCTCAGCGCGTTGAACGGGTGTACTCCTTGCTTTCAATCACCACCTGCCTCCACTCTTTGAGCCTATGGCCAATGGAGCCGAAGTGCGTGCATCGGTGCGCATCCAGTCCAGAGATTTCCTCCATTGCGTTTACTTTGCTTGCAATAGAGCTCCAATTTCCTCCCTGAATCTATGGTACCTCAAGTACTCCTCCGTCTTGCCTCCCGCGTCCGCTCACAAGCCTTCGGCCCAACAGTCAAGAAGCATTGAGCTTTTCGCCACTCACTTTGACAAACGCTGGCTTCCAAGATCTTGATGCCCACTTTATCTAAGGCCTTCTCAGTCTCAATGTGCTCAATCATCTCATCCTTTGTGGGAATAATGCTTGAATTACTCACCTCGGATCTTGAACTTTTGTGGTCCATCCTCTCATCCGGATAAAGACTCGCGGTATACATCACTGTCTGGGGTGACATGCCATGTCATTTATCTTCCATGTCAATATCCCTGCGTCCTCATCTTGATACCATACTGCCAGCTGATCACCTGGTTGACATAGTGATATTTTATATAACTCCTCGACCCTTGCGTCGTGACGGGCTGACATGGGCACTGTCCTCCTCTACTGGGTTGGACCTCCAATGATGCAACGAAAACCTTGTAAAGATCAAGAAAACTGAAGAAGTCACACAACCAAGTAACCAGGTTGTAACACTCACAGGAACACTTACAGGTTCACACAAGGGCAGGTTCACTCACGGCGAGCGGTCGCTCGTCCTTCAGCGATTTAATCGCCGCTTTGAGGGCCAACAAGAGAGAGGTTGGTCGCATGGCACAGCCCTAAAACTTGAGATGAAAATCACTTCACAAACAAAAGAAAAGCTTCAAATCACTCAACCTTCTCCAGCAGGCTGATCCAAGCAAGCACGAAGCACGAAGCAAGAAGCAAGAAGAAGAAGAAGGAAGAAGAAGCAAGCAGAAAAAGAAGCTAGAAGCAAGAAGAAGAAGAAGAAGAAAGAAGAAGAAGAAGAAGAAAGAACATCCACTAACAACAAGTTCATCCCATGGTGAAACTTTGCAACACCACCTTCAAGCCACCTTCACAGCAAGCCCAATGCTGACGAGCTTTGTGAACTTGGATGCAAAGCATTCTCGGAATAAACGGGGCAATGGCCCAACGGCTGAGTCTGTCGAAGAATTTAAGGACACGGACTTTGACCTCCAAGGTCTCTGAGCAAGCGATCAAGGTTTCACCTTGCCTGTTGGCAACTAGCCATCAAGCCAGACTGATCATGGAAAATGCTCCTTGGAGCTCCTCCAGCAATATTGAATTTTGGCCCCCTTTTCTGTTCAGTTGAAAGCAGCTCCAAACAAGCGGCAAGTGTTTGTTCGACTGTAAAAAAAAGGAACTTTAATCACAAACTCTGAATACTCCTGGCAAACACTCGCAAAGTTTCAATGTAGGGACAGGACAGTGGAAGCAAGGGCCCAAGATTCAGAAGCTAAACATATCAATTGCCTGTACTGTGTATGTTGTAAGTCATAAGTGTGTAAATGTATGCGGTTCATGATTGTACTATATATCTGTACCTGTGCTGCAACATTATCCGACCGACTTTCTTCATAGTCAGCAACAATCAACCACTGGTTCATGCAAGCCTGTTCTGAGGCAGTTTAGACTCCATGATGTGCACTTCGGGTGTATACATGGTTTTAGCACTTCGGAGAAAACAACCCAACGGCAAGTTGAATTCACCAGCATGACACTCAGGTTTGCACATTAGTGCAGTCCCATTCTTGGAGACAGCACACATCACCACCTGTTTGCGCCGACTTTTTCATTGATTTCTTGCTATCAAGAAATTATATATATAAATGTTTTTCAATTGGTGAAGATTTCTCTGCTGTCTGGGCTGTCCTTCTCGATGTAACAAAGACCATTTACAGCCGGGCCCTACCTCCCAATCATCCTTGAAATCTGGAGCATACTGCAAGGCCAGGCCTTCCGCTCTCACAAAAAGCAACGAAGTGCAGTGAAGTACACAAGCTTCAGGTTAAGCAAAGTTTAATCAAACTGAGCTCAGCTCCATTTGCCCAACAGGCTTCGGCCACCAGCTCCTTGTCAGCACCTCGCAAAGCAAAAGCACTGTCCCTTTCTTGGATTCCAGGAGCCAGCTGCGTGGCAGAAAATAAACATCCACAGAAGCAATGTATTTGTTGTCTTGGCGGTCAGAAATTCCGCTGAAGCTCTCGAATTATATTCCAGTGACCAACACAAGGTTGTGTCAGACTGCACAAGAAAATGAAAACAAACACAAGAACTAAACAAACAAAAGATTGCCACCAAGTTGGATTATCATTAGCCATTCAACGCCCTGACACCATGTCACTGACCCCAAACTTAGCATGCAAGCAAGTCCTTCAGGACACTTGCTAATTATCCCCGGCACATTAGCTCGAATCGCCCTTGCAAACCATGCCGTTGACACATAACAAGTGCAAGATTCTGGAGTCAAAGCTGGCAATGAAATCGCAATTGAAACCGCATCATGCCACTCTGACCCAAATGAAGGCCCAACAGAGTATGGTAAGACCCTATTTGTCACAAGCACAAGTACAGCAGTTCATTAATCCAACCAGCCCATCTAGTGGTCTATGGATAGAAACACAATCGGAGACAGTTCAAGGTCAGGCATGCAGAAACTGCAAGAGCAAAATGAGAACAATACAGTACCTTTATTTCGGTCGTGCAGCTGGGAGTGCTTCCTTTGTGTTTGGAACATAGCGCCTTCCGGTTAGAACTGAGACGGAAAACAACCCCAAAAGCATGTTCGGAAGAAAGTGCTTTGCAGAATCTGGAGCTTGGCAGAACGTAACGTGTCAACCATATCCAAAAACACAAAAATACGATACAAACAGGAAAGTGGAGTCCTCAAGATGTGAGAATGGTGACAAAAGGGTTAGGCCCTGAAGGGGTGGTTAGAAACCTACAGCTTTTGGGCTGGCCCTTGGACCCTTCTTTGTTCCTTCTTTTCTTCCTTTATGTACTTGTCTATATATTATGTTCTTAATACACAGATTTAGAAGAAGGTCTGGTTATATACTAGTTCTTGCGTACCGAGGTAGCTTCTTGCAGTGCGTAACACTATGACTGGTTACATCTTATCATCCTTAAAGGCACCCGGTGCAAAGATCCGTCATGTATTCGGAGGGTTGGGGAGCTTGTGTAGGCAGGAGCTCAAACGAACCCCAATTGAAAACGTAGCATAGGATTGCTGGCTTGTTTAGGCTGCCTCCCGCAGCTTCAAGAGGGCTTGGAAGGACAAAGGTTGTGAGCGGATTCTTGAAGAAGTTCCTTCCCCCTTGCAGCACAGGAGAGTCTCGAGCCGTTGAAAAATTTGCTTCGAATCACAGGTTCAGCCGGTGGAGACACCTAACAAAACAGGTGTTGCACAAGGTCATGCATAAGTACCTAAGTGCACTTGGCCCTTGGCTTTGGGAACCTGAGTCTTTGTCTCAAGGCTCTCGAGGTTCTCCTCCATATTGGGTGTCATTGTCTTTCCGAAGGCTGCAAAACACGGCAAAACGTTGGGGATTCTGATCTTTTCAGAGCCTGGCCTCATCAAGTTCGGCTTCATGATGTTGGGTTTGCACCGTGCTTTCATGCAAGTTGTCCTCTGCGAATTCAGCTGGAAGTGTATACTCTCCACAAAGGTTGGTCGAACAACACCTGACATGCTCGGAGGCCAGCAGCACGCAAAGCCGAGCGGAACACCATGGCAGCTCGATGCCAGCTCTCCTGTCAACAATAGAACCAGGTGGACTTGGGATGATGTGAGCAGGCCCAGAGCTGCAAAAGCTGGAAACTCGCCTCATCATTCCAGAAGTGCGACACACCTCAGGACATCCACATTCACCTGCGTGATTGGTAGATTGGTAGATTGTTATATACGGTGTTCTAATGGTCCTATGATTTGCAGGCGTGACACCCGAAGGATGCGGCAGCACCAGAAAGCGCACACCATCCTGCTCCTCTGTCCATGGTACGCACCGGTCCAAACTCAACGCAAATGCGGCAGCAACAAGGCGCCCACAAAGAACAACCACCTGCAGTCGAAGCATGACACAATAGAAGCTACTAGGAACACGGGCATCGCTACTAGGAACAAGGGCATTACTACTAGGAGCAAATAGCTAGTAACAACAAGAAACTACAGGAACAAGGGCTCTGACACAAATGGCAGCGTGGCGCCAAATGAGTTTGTCTTTCCTTCATTGGCGAGCAGCCGCGTAGCGTTCTAAACGGCCGAAGCGTCGCAAGCGGGCAGCCACAAGTCGGGCCACCGACAGCGGGAAGCGATGGCCATCACAGCGGTGCTTTCGATAACCAGCACTCCACTGGTGGTATGACCTTGGTATGACCAATGCGTTGGAAATATGTTCACGAAGTATGACTTGCCACAGGATGTGATCCGTACGATATGCTTTGCAGAGTATCTTTTGAACACGAAGAGAAGAAACCTGTGCGAACCGCTTTCCTATCTTCACTTATGCTGCTGTTCGTTCATCTTTTAGGCTGTATTCGCCATTTTTGCAAAAACATGACTGTCGGCCAAATCAGCACAGGACAGCAGCGTTAGGTGATTATGGCTTTGCCACCTTTGCCCTGCCAGCTTAGTAACTCAATCCCAACGAGCCGGAGAAGCTCCGGGATTTGCAACACGATTGGGCAGACCATATTGTCCTGAAAGGGGGAGCTTCAAGGAATACCACCACTTCTTTGCTCTGGGACTGCCAGTTTGGACGGCCTCACTCAAGAATTCATCATGACAAAGTCGGGGACTTGTGTGTGTGTGTGAACATAGTCGGGGAGATGTGAAATAATTGCATTGGAGGTGCTTCCTGTCTTTCTTTCCAGGACACCAACCTCAGTTCTCAGCTCATGTCGACTATAACCTCTCAAGACTTCCTTGAGTCTCAAGTTAAATCAACAATGACATGTTGGCCAAGGCACCAAGAAGGTCCACACGGTCAAAAAATGCCCAGAGTTCATCAAGGCTGAGTCCAGCCAGCCGCGCCAACCGCTTCTCTGGTTGTCCTTGCAAGGTTGCCCGGCGTCAATGCTAGGACAAATGTGCTTCCCAAGGAGTTTCGTATGCAGATTGACAAACGCAGCACAGGCCTTGCAAGGGCTTGTAGTCTGAGGACAGACTCTCCTTGGCTCTCTCGCCAACCAAACAGAGTTGCGAACCTTGTGTTTCTTGGTTAAAACTGGCACTGAACCTAACGCAATCCTGAACTGTCAGCAAATAGATTGACCACATGAAGCCAAACAAAGATATGGATCATATGGAGGCTTGACCTCTCCAAGAAATATCGTTCTGAATGTTTTAGGCATTTCACAACAAATCAAAGACCATGATATCATTGTGCACATTTCTCCTCAGTTCTAGCACATGAAGCTGAGTCAGGAAACTCTTACAAGGCATTGCAAAAGATTGCAAACGGTAGACCTCATGTTTGATCTGGTGCTTTACCACTGATTCCTAGTCCATTAGGGAGAGACAGCCAAGTGGTCCTCCTTCAAACAAGTTCTCTACAGGGAACGTATCTTTGACTATTCTTGACTCTATTCAGGCTTGCATCTGGAGGCAAGGGCGGAGCTTGGCCCACCACCAGGCCACGCGGGATGCGCTCCGCCATCGCTCAGGACCATGGAACCACAAACAAGCAATCTACGGCTACGGTTGCTTAAAACGATTCATTTTTGGTCATTTGCTCTTTAAAGGTCCTGGGTGTGAAAAGAAATCTTCTTTCAGAACAAACCTCAATGTCAAGTCGTGGAAGCCGAGCCAAAAGGCTTCCCCATTTCCTCCGCCTGGGCAAGGTTTGTGGCATAGGAAAGGATGCTTTCCAAATCACAAGCATTGTACTGTAATGCAGCAGGAGCTTCAATCTAAGGTCCACTCGAAGACTTTGAGGTGCGTTTTGCAAAGCAAGACCATCCTGTCGATTTTGATTTGCTTTCAAAGATCTGTACTGTTATGTCAGCTGTGTCTGATGCAAAGGCACATCCTTTGAGGGCCATGGTCCTTAAGGATTGTGGCACAAGTTCAAAAACAATGAGTTTCAGCCTCCTGCACAAGCTGGTATTGTTTGCGCCACTCATCGGTTCGGTGCAAGGCCTTGGATACCAACACTTTTGACATGTATTCGAATCGAGCATTTGAAATGGCCGACTGCTGCAAACAAAATTCTTTTAAGGTTTGGACTTCGATGGCAGTTTGCCCTTCTAAAGCCCTCCATCCTTTTGGTTCCTGGCTGTCTGCATTATTTTACAAACCCAGGCAAAATTGAAAATATCCACAATAATTGAGAAAGAAAAAACTCTGAACCCGACGCTGCATTTGACAAGTCATGGACAAAGTTTTTGGTGGTGTGCTGCTCTCGGTTTCTGAAAGGGGTGTTGGTACAATGTTGCCTCCTTGACCAAGAGCTCTGAACATGCCACCAACGTGCGTTCCTCTGCCTGCAAATGAAACACACCAAAAACCACTGCGACACTACAAAAAGTAGTTTGTCATGCTCAATTATACAACGCGACCTTCATGTTTCATGCCCGTCAGCCACAGATCAGTAAATGAACATTCGCCATGGTGTCGCACAAAGGCACAAAGCTATTCAAACCACTGCGTCAAATTGTGACCCACAACAATAAAATCTTAGAACCATTGATGTTCTTGTCAGTGGCACTATTGAGGATTCTTGACCCAAACCTCTCTTATTGGGTTTGGTTGCATGTTGTGAAAGGTATTTTTCGAGCCAGCATTGTTGCAGCACTGGTTTCCCAAAGTAAATCCGCACGACAAAACAACAACACGACAGTGGCCCGAAAGCACAGCAGCAGATAGAGAGAGGCATTGATGGAAAGCGTAGCATACAATACACATGTTGGTGATCGTGAAAAAAACAGCCCAGACAACGATGGCGGTGCAAATGCGTGTGGTTCAATGTGTCCTTTTTTCGTATTACAGCTGTGATCATCCGTCTTTCTGCTTGTCACATCGTCCGCAGGTGTCTACACCAGGCTCGTTGACAACCGCCAACCATCCTGCTCCCCAGCACGCGGCATCATCACATTTTCCCATCCAATGGCGCGGATAACGCTCTTTCCACCGACGCCGCGCATGACAAAGACGTAATTTCGCCACCTGGTGTGCCACAGACCAGACACAACAACACAATGACACCAAGCCTTGTGACAATCATCTCCACAACGACACGTCGCTGCTTTCCTCTCTTCCCACTGCAAAAACTGCGACACACGGTGTGCCACAAATTTGGACAATATGACACCAAGCCTTCTCAACACCGCCAAACTAACCGCCAATCATTCCGCTTGGAACGGGTGCCAGCACGTTTGTTTCCTTTGTCCAAAAAGCAAGATGGAGCCCACGAACCCGAATGCAAACACTTTCAAAAAGCTACTGTTAATCTGCGAGGGGATGGCCCGATGCGACGGGGTCACATCAGGGTCACATCAGGTTCCTGTTTACAGCGAGGCCCAGTAGCATTGAAAGAAAGGTGCCCATGAGAAAATCATCGTAAGACAAGGGAATAGCTAGATAATTTGCATGTCGCATGTTCTCCAAACATTATATAACAGTATGCAATCATGAAACCGATGCGACTTCCCGAAGACCTTTCGACGCAAGTAACGGCAACATTCAGTGCAAACCGATGCGACTAATCTGTCTGAGAGTACATATGTCCAAATGACACTCTTGTAGGACACTCTTGTGGGACACTCTTGTGGGTCACTCTTGTAGGAAACTCTTGTGGGACATTTTTACGGGACACTCTTGTGGGACACTCTTCTGGGACACTCTTGTAGGACACTCTTGTGGGACACTCTTGTGGGAGACTCTTGTGGAACACTCTTGTAGGACACCCTTGTGGGTCACTCTTGTATTAAACTCTGGCGGGGCACTCTTTTAGGATACTCTTGTGGGTCACTCGTGTAGGAAACTCTTGTGGGACTTATAAGCCACTCTTGTGGGACACTCTTATTATGGGACACTCTTGTGGGACACTCTTGTGGGGCACTCTTGTAGGACACTCTTGTAGGACACTCTTGTGGGACACTCTTGTGGGACACTCTTGTAGGACACTCTTGTGGGAGGCCATGGACCGGTGTTTGTGTGCGTGTCTGTATACAAACCGTTGCCCACTAAACGACTAGAGATGGCTTTTGAACACATATGGCAATGTTTTGTTGTTGCAATAAACATGTTTTGCTTTTACAAAGTGATTTGACGACCAAAGTGCCTCTGCAGTGCATGTTGGCTTGCTGAAATGCTTGTGTTTTCGGAAAAGATGTAAGCGAAGGTTGTGGCTGGCCTGTCCAAGATAAAATGGATTTTCGGTGAGTTTGTGGCCTCTATTTTGGAATGGCAAAGCCGGTCTTGGGCACGGACTTGCCAGTGAGCAGAGAAATTGCGGGCGCCAAGAGAATGGTCGATGAAAACAGGTGTGCTTGATGCTACGATAGGACGATCGATGTCCTTCCCTTCGACCTCCAAAATGAGTTTCCGCAGCGTCACTGGTACCAAAGAACCTCCACCGCTCATGGCGGCGCCAGTCACTGCTGTTGACGATGATGCACTTCCCCAACCGGCGAGAGCACAATTCAAAGGTGTTGGTGCACTTTCTGTGCCCTGCCGCAGGTTCAGCTGCAGTTTTTTTTTTTGCACGGGTGGAGACGCCATGTGTGCATGGTGCACAGGTCATCTTTGACTACGTTTGAGTGAATCTCCTGTAGAGTGAACCAAGAAACAAAAACAAAACCAAAAACCGCAAAAGGGAACCCAACCAAAACAACAACCAGCACCCAAGACCACAAACACGAAAGGAGATTCGACTTTGCACATGCAAGGTGAAACATCGGTGAGACAATGCTATGCCTTCTTTGTAGTTGGGCAACGAATTCTGGCGTGAGCTTCGAAAGATGAGTCGTCATCGTTTGCCCTCACGACGTAGAGAGGCAGTGGGCCTGAAGGTACAGGCCTGTTCAAGAGCACTAGTTGAAATCAGTGCTCTAGGTGGCGATCAAAGCTCGTTGGCAGTTAGGCAGCAAGTCTAGCTACCATATGGGAGAGCTGCTAGTCGAACGCACAAATACCCGAGACTGCAACCATGTTCTGGCCGTGGAAAACAGCGGAGCCCACAACTCTGACGTGACAAGCGAAAGTGAGTGAAGCTGCCGCTGTGGCCTGCATACAGTGCATAGCACGGGTAAGTTATTGTTGCGAGTCAGTATCGCACGAAAGAGTAGGCGCCGCAGCACGGCAGAGGCGTACTCCATAACAGCTAAGCCTACAGGAGTACTCATCATGTGCACACTTAACACAATGAAGGGTGCAGACGTACGATAGCAGGCTTTCAGTGGTCATGCAATGCCCTGGTGAAACCCTACGGCGCCGTCTGTACTCTATATACAAGGCTGGCAGGGTAGTGACCCACCCTCAGGACAAGAACTAAGGTTCTCGCCTGAGATCCAGCCAACTGTAGTTTGTGCGCTTTAGCTCAGGACAAGAACTAAGGTTCTCGACTGAGAGTAAGTCGCCGGGCATGTTACGTAGACTTAGGCACCTATTAGGACGATGAGCAGTAGCGGTCGATGCTCCCCCCTGCAATGCTGAACAGGTGTTTATTCTTCTGCAGTCCCCTGGGCTCGGCTGCCGACTATGGGCTGGGCTAAGTAGGATCAAATCCTGGGTTCGGGATGAGGTTGATCCATACCGGCATGGTGAATCTGGGGCATAGTTCGAAGGCTGTTTCTTCAGCATAAGGCCCCCGCCACGTTCCGCTTGCCTGGCATTAGTGTGAAGCTTGCCAACAAGGTACAATCAAAGAAGGCCTTACTGGCAATGTATCGAAGTGTTGGCGGGACTGCAATCTCTCGAAGTACAGCGCAATCCATAAAGGCTTTCACATGGATGGTGTGAAGCGTCCTTGGAAGCCACATATGTTGCAGTCGTATGCAGTTAGAAAACGAAAACTCTCAGATTTCAGGAATAGAAGTACTAGAGAGATCAACAAATGCAAGGAGTTTGCAATTGTCACAGGCATGAGATCCTAGCCGGTGAAATTCTGATGATCCAAAGCATCCCCGTGGTATCTCTCGAAGTTGAGCAGGCGTTGATTGACCTGTCTCAATCACGGCTTGCATGAGCGTTACGTTAGCTAAATTGAGACATGCGTCAAAGAGGTATGGGGCCAGCTTGGTTGAGCCAACAAAGGTGTTGTCTCCTCCGCTTGCTCTTATATGCTGCAGTGAACAGCAATCAGCAAAGGCTCTATACCCGAAGTCGACACATCCTGGAGCATCTACACTATTAAGCAAGTGACATCCCCGGAAAGCGCTTTCCTCAATGCGCAATACAGTTGACGGCAGCTTAACGATTCAGTGTGTAGACCTTCTTCAACGAGGACACGTCGCAACCGAGGGACTGCACAGAAGGCACTATCTGGGATGATCCCGGAGTTGACTGGGACTTTGACTGCTTTTGGGTAATCCTGGTATTCGTGGTCTTCGAAGTCTGCTTTGGACTGGTAGACTAAGACCTCTAGCCATTCTCGAACGATCAGATTGAAGCTCGTGTTTACTTGCAGGGCATCCCATATTTGGCCTTCTGGGTATT